ATACTAGAAATTATTAAATTTATTCCTTGCCTGCTGATTGCCTGTTTCCCTGCAAAAATGTAAATTTCAAGAAGGCATGGACTTCATCGGCCTGTCACTGCATCCTCAACACCCAGAACAGCACCTGTGAGAGATGAGGGAGGAGCTGTAAGCGTTACCCCTCCTACAAGAAATGAGAATACACAAAGGAGGCAGGGTTGTACATTGGGGGAAGGGCTTTATGAAAGCTAGAACTGTAGGGGATGTGGGGGAAGTATCCACATTTCTATATCTCTGTGACTCCAGGTCTTTTGTGTTAATAACTCTGAATTTCGAAGGGAGTGGAGAGGCAGAGGCAGCACAAGTTAGAGACGTTTCTGTCTCATGCATCTGTAAAACACATAAATCAAAATGCTTCAAATATTTGCCTCCCTCTACCTGTTGCACTGTGTCTTCCTTCATGTTGAGCTTCCTGAGGAGTTGTCTATACCTGCTGACTTCACATCGTCCTCACACATTCATCCCTCACAGCAGACACTTTCCAGATCTCAACATTCTCAACTCCTGACCAGCACCAGTTGCCAGCATTATTGGCATTCTTTTTAAATCTCTTTCCCTCGCTCTCTAAAACACTCAGGCTCAGAGCAGAATCAGACATGGCCCTCTCTCCCTGTATTTGGTGTGGGAGACAGTCACAGTTCTCACTGCTTTGCAGCCACTTATCAAGCAAGCTGTCTACAGTCATATGTTCTTTTCTCTTCCCTGCCCATTTCCCACACTCTGTGGTGAGGATCAGCCCCTGCCCAAAGCTTAACAATGACCTCCCTGTTGAGTCAGCCACTGGGCACTATTTAGTTCTTGACTTATTAGTACATGGTAAAAACCACCAGCCTACAGGAAATGCCCTATCTTGTGTTGGCTTGTGTGACACCCCTCTCAGGACTCAAGCCTAAGCCTGTTTATCTTTTCCTGGGTGACTGCATCCAGTGCCATGGTTTTGGATGTCACCCATGTGCCAGTGACCCTCAATCTCCACCCCCATTCATACCTCTTTCCTCCCTTGTAGCCTGCCGCCAGCCTGCAGCGCTCACAGTTGTCCAATTCCCTGAGGTCTAGAATCCTGTTTTGTCCACAGCATTTCAACCTCCTCGGTACATGAGCCCTTGCTCTGCAGTGTATTTCTAGGGCTGAGGTCTTGCTCTTTGGCCAGATATTTCCTGGTGCTATTCAACACCTTAAGGATACCAGGTGTGCCTGCACTGTCATTTATCACTTATTAGCTAGTAGTAGTCATGTTGAGAATGGCAGGTAAGCTCTCTTGAGTACTGACCATGTGACACATTTATCTGGTCTGTTCCATTGAGTCACCACAGGTGCCACGTGAGGTGGAAAGTATTGTAATTTCCATTTTACAAGTGAGTAATGTGAAGTTCAGGGGCTGTAAGGAACTTGCTTGTACTAATTTAGCCAGTAGTTAGGGGATGATCTGAAAATCAAACTGTGTCCTGCGCTCAATGGAGCACAGAGATCTGGTCACTACCTTGTGCTGCCTCTGCCTCTACTGTTAGTCTATCTGCTTTGAAGCCTGGCTGTCCCTTGCTTGCTCCTTCATCCACTTCTGCACTAGGCTTAGCCCTGTACATAGTTTTTTTCTCTAGTTTGCCTTCCGCAGTGTCCCTAGCATCTCAGTCTTGCCTCAAGCCCAGGTACTTAACAAGCTAAGAGCTATGTAAGACTTGCCTGGGCTGGTGTTTTTCCTTGACCTAATAAGAAAAGCATGTGTACATGTGGTATAGTTTGGGCTATGCTAGGGCAGGAACGCACAGACTTTATGACCAGCAGCTCTGATTTTGTCCCTAAACCACACATATAGCAGGTCACATGGTGGTTTGATGTTGGTTATTTAATTTGATAATTCACAACTGACAAGGGGGTTGCTCACTGCTATTCCGATCAACAGATAGTTTTGTTTAATTGTGAAAATACAGTTTTGTTTATATTCAGTGATTATCAAGTTGAAGAGAAGCACATCTGAAGTACAAACAGCCAGGCAGAGGGATATGCACCCACACACATGCACGCAGACATATACACTTACCTAGACATTGCATGAGAATGTTTATTTCTAATGGAACTTTAGAAAGTGAAACGCAAAATGGAAGGAACTCCTATCATGGCTGTAACTAAAAGCTTTGCCTCCTCCTTCTGCCTTCCTTATTTCTGTTCTGCCACCCCAGTCACCGGGGAAGGCCCTGTGAGCCTTAGCAACCCTCCCTCCATTGCCTCCTCCCTGACTCCGACTCCATCTGTCAGTTCCACATCTTAGATGTTGCTCCCTCCTGTGGCTCCTCTTCTGACCATCCCTATGGCTCTGCTGTTCACTGAAAGAAAAGAGGCTCCAGCTCTCCATCCTGCAAACTCTCATGCCTACCCCCACATGAGGGACCTTTTGAAACAGCATTCGGACATGAAATGCTCCTCTTAGTACTGTTTGTAACTCCCCTGTTGCCCACAGGATAAAGTGCGATTGGCTGTCCAGCCTCCCACTCCTGCTTTATCTCCAACAACTGCTCTTCACAAACGCCTCAGGCCATCTCCTCCTTGCTGACTGTCAAACACCACACATATCTGGTTCCAACGCCCTTGCGAACACGCAAGTGTTTTCTTGGGAACTCTGAGGACCTCGTGACTTTGTACCTTGTGTTAGTGGTGTTCAAAAAGTTAGTATTTTTTTGGTAGTAATTTTACTACAAGTTCCGACTGCTCTCTTGAAAAACATATGTAAGGGCCAAGACATCATCTGAGTCCTTGCTGTATATTCCTCTATCACAAAGTCCATGGCCTGACCTAGGCAAGCATGTGGCAAATAGTTGGAAAACTACAAAACTATAATAACATTCTGTAGCCTTCCCATCAATGAGGTTTGCAAGGAAGATGGCAAGCATGATTAATATCAACTTGTAAGAGGAAAGTGCCTGGGAATCTCTGATGAGGGAGCTGTAATCACTTGCTTCCTTTTAGCTGCCTGGGATTCAGTGGCTCATTCAGCAAATGTACTTAATGCCTACTGGTCATTGGGTACGGTGCTCAACCCAGGGGAACACACATAAATCGGACAAACCTTCATTTCCTGGAGTTCCAATGTCAGTGGAGGAAGATATTGGCTACAGTAAGGGCAGTCATGCCCCTTTCCATAGCAGATGGACTGGCAGCGTTGTCTTCCTTATGGGCTCAGGAAAGCCATGTGTTTGCGAGTTCCCTGCTCTGCGGCATTTCTCCCTGGGGCAAAACTGGCTACATAATTTGCAGGGCCCAGGAAAAAAGAAAAATGCTGGGCTAACTTGTTCAAAAATTGTTAAACATTTCAGCAGCAAAGCATTAAAGAAAGTATGGGGCTCTTCTGTGTGGGGGGGAGAAGTGGGGCAGTGAGGGGCTGTGCAAGCCTAAACATGTCCTTCAGTCTCTTCTCTCTTGCACCAGAGTCTGAAGACAGCCCCAGGTCCTAGTGGACTGACTCAGTGGTAGGAGGACACATACAGCCTCATGCAAATCAGTGACACATTTGGTTGAGTGCCTACTGTATGCCCAGGGCTCTGCTAAGACTTAGGGATACAGTGAAGATTCCAACAGACAAATTTTATGTGTATACATGTGTGTGTTTGTCACTGAGCTTACTTCAGTGGGAGAGACCTACTATACATAAGCTCATTAAAAATGACCAAGAAAATCATCAATGAGTGAGCAGTGTCGTGAAGAGGACAAAACAGAGTGATGTGCTTGTGGGGGTGGGGGGATAAAGAGGGTGTTTGATATGAGTGTGGTAGAATTAAGCCTCTTCAAGGATGCACACAGCCGTTTATTTTAAGAGTGAAAAACTAAATGTAAGCTCACAGCTCTGTCCTGTAGACCCATTTACAAGTAGCACCAAAATATAATGCTGAGCCTATTAAGCCTGAAGTTTTTATTTATTGATTGATTTTTTCTACAGCAACAGGTGCGGAAGCTGCTAGTGTCTGGCATTGGCTTGGTACACAAATTTTTGCCATTACTTTTCCTTCTGAAGCAAATCAGAAGGGTCTAGGTAAAGAAGATGAAGTCCAAGTATGTGTGAGCCTCTTGACATGTCCCACCTGAAGAGGAGCCCTACCCCTTCTTCGTTCGTGCCTTCTCATGTCTTCTTATGCTATCACGTGGTGCAAAGTGTCCAGAAAGATTTGGCCATCCAGTCTCAGGGGGTTTCCAAAGCCTCCTCTATTCCACGTGGTCCCTCTCACACTCAGCTTCTGGGGCCAAAGTTGGAGCCACATTGTGGCAGTTAACCCCTGGGGTTCAGAGAAAATTCTACAGGGAGTGTCTCTGCCTGGTTCTCTGTTGTCAGATCCTCCCTGCACCGAAATACCTGGGAATTTGGCCTGTGGAGTACCTCAGATCAGAAATTGCTGGGGAAAATCCTGTCTCTCCTCTTCCCTGTGCCAAGGAAGGTGCTGAGCTACCCAGTCTCCATGTAACAAGATTTGTATTCTGATGGACTGGAGGTTGTGGAGAGAGAGCTGGGAAAACCAGAGGCAGCTAGGTGAGGCCAGGAGACTTGGGGGAGCAATGGGGTTCAACAGGTGGTGGTGAGGAAGCCACAGCTAGAGAGCACACTTTAACCCCGCGGCGCGACAGCGGACAGGAAGGGGTCGCCCCTGGTGCATAAGCCCACCCAGTCCTCTTCTTGATTCTGAAGCAGCTCCCTGCGGGCCACAGCCTGGGGCCGTGAGTTTCCTCCGCCCAGGCCTCGAGCCCTGGGCTCGCCGCCTCCTCCCTCCTCGTCACCCGCATCTGGCTGTCTGGCAGCGATTCAGTGGTGGCGGCAGGGGGACTGGGGGCCTAGGCGACAGGGCTCCCGTCTCCTCCCCTCGCCCGCACGACCATCCGCCGCTCCCCACCGCTGCAACAGTCACGTCGTCGGAGATTTCCATCGGGGCTGGGGGCGGGCCTGGGGCGGGGAGAGCGCGGCGGGGAGGGGCGAGTGGGAGGAGTGAAAGTTGGAGTCCAGCAAAACCCTCCACGCCGCGCTCAGAGCGGCCAGACCGTGAGCCGCGACCTCCAGTACAGGTGGTCGCTCCGGTCTCTGCGAAAATGTTGTCCAAAGTTCTTCCAGTCCTCCTCGCCATCTTATTGATCCTCCAGTCGAGGTGAGTCTCCATCCTGATCCCGGGAGCCCTTCGCAAGCAGCTCGTTCTCCCTGGGAGCAGGGACTGCTCCCGGGACCCCTGCCGCCCGCGTTCTTCGAGCCCCGCGCCGGCCTGGCCCCAAGCCGCAGCGCAGGCTGGCCGAGTCCCGCGTCCCCTCGATGGGCGCCAGCCTACGCCCCGCTCCCTCTAGACTGGGCTCCGGGGGTCATTGAAGGGGAGCACCAGAAGGAAGACGGGACTCCAGTTCTCGTACTCCCGCTCATGGAAGCAGTGCGGTGGCTGGGTGACAAGCACTCCTTTTCCGAGTCTTGCGCAGGAAGAGGGGAACGGCCCCCGGGTAACCGGCCAGCGCAGGCTCCAGCTACTGGGGTCCGGGGGTGCATTTTGAGAAGGGGGTGCGCGGCTGAGGGAGCTTAACTGCACCAGAAATGTGTGAATATTGCCTCGTCTGTTCTGTGCTGCTCACATTTTTTTAAGAGTGCCTACTGGGTACCAGACACTTCGCCAGGCAACTCTTACTTTACTTGCTTCCCATACCGCTGCTCCTCTTGGTGCCAGTCCCAGGCAAGACCTTTGGTTTAGTCTTAAGGGTTCCCGCACCAGCTATACCCCTCTCCCCACCGCTGATAGCTCCCCCCTAACTTAATTTATTCCTAGATACACTGCTGGGCCTTGGCCAGACTGGAACCAGAGGCCAGGAATGTTACACTCCTCTGAAGTCTGTGGTTTGGGTCCTAGATTTCAATCCCCTTCTCCATTTTCAGGTTTCCCTTGAGCAACCAGCTTCCCTCACACCTTCCCCTGGCCCTGGGACTTGGCTAGGAAGGTCGTCCCCTGGATCTCTGGCTTTTGGGGGTGGAAGGTGACGGCTTCCTTGTTGTTGTTGTTGTTGTTTTGAGATGGTTCCTTCTGAGTGTGAAGTGTCACAAGTTTGCAAGCTTCCTGATCTGTGGAGCTTTAAGGAAGTTTCCATGGCACTGAGCTTGTGTCTTCTCTATCCGTTGTGGGGAGTGGGGAGTGGCTTCTCTCCGGACCCCAGATTGCATTAGCTCCTCAGGGAAGGGGAGTTGTGGCTCCCTGCTGTCTCACTAGTGTCCTGGAGTGGGGCTAGCCCCTGCAGAGGCTTGGTAAATGTTTTTTTATGCGTTCTAGCAATTTCCAGTCATCCACATCCCTCCAAATGGGATTTGGACTAGTTGAGAAAGCTGATACAGTGACTGGTTAGGGCAAAAGATGGCTCTGGGGTGAGGGAAATAAGAAGAGGATGCTGGTCAGAGAGGAAAACAGCAGGAAAAAGGGGCTGGGGAAACAGAAACTACTCTTCAAGCATAGCAACCTGTGGTGTCAGGAAACACCTGAGGAGGTGACAGTGGGGTGTGCTGGGCCACACTGAACCAGGAGATCTCACTGTGGTCCAGGCTTGGCCTCAAATCAGTTGTGTGACTTTGGGCACAGTCCTTCTTCTATCTGGGCTTCAGTTTCTCCATCTGTAGAATGGAAAAGAGATCTGATTTCAGAAATAAATCTAACATCTCTTCTTATGCCCCCCGAACCACCGCCACCAGTCAACTGTTGGGGAGGGGGTAGTGCACAGATTCAACTTCATGATGGACCATTATGTCTGGAGACATGTGAATGCCTGGAAAACTCCCCTGGAAAATCCCACTATTCCAATGTATGAGTGTTTTTCAAGTTTTTATTCTTTCTAGCCCTCATTTGAGATGAAAGCCACCTTATGACCCTCTGATATCATTTTCATTGCAGACCTAGTCTAGAGGCAGGAGGGCTTTGGTGGTCCCAGTGCTTTCGGGTTTATTTGTTTGCCTCTGTGCTTTTAAACCTGGGAGGGGACGGGGGGATCTTGTCCATGGATTTCAGACATCTGGGAGGGACCACTTCAGGCTTTTAGGTGGTCTCAGCTGGCAGTGCTCAGCCTACCAGTGACTGCTGGTTCCGACTGTGCCATGTTACCAGCCACATCACTCATTTTGCAGGGTCTCAGGTCTCCATTTTCCTTCCTCTCTTCACATAGTCTCTGGCTCTTATCCTTTGAGAGGGCTGAGAGTTTGGCCTCCGGGAAAGAGGACATCTAGATACGGCATTTGAAAGTAAAAACTGTATTTTTCAAGCCCAATTCTTCCCTAGCGCACAATGCGAAGTAACCACTTCAGATATGAGAAGTGGTGTGGATTTCGCACATCTGCATGCCACTCGAGCAATTCTAACAGCTTAAAATACTGCAGAAAAATGCATTTTGCTGCCCAAGTTGGCAGTCTCTTGGTCTGCAATACAAGGGTCATGCCAACGTCTCTTGCCCTGTTTACACATTATTTTAGAAAGCGAATTGCCTTATGGCTTAAAAAATCATTTTTGAATTCCGACATGCCAATATAAAAGCATAGACATCATGAGTGAACAGCTCCATGGATTTTCCCAAAGTAAACAGGCCCATGTAACCAACACCTAGATCAGGAAATAGAGCATTGCAACCCTCTCACCACACACATGCACACACACATGCACACGTGTGTGCACATGTGCATGCATGCACACACACACACACACACACACACACAGGCATCTCCAAAATGCCTGTCCCCATACACTTTCTTCCCCAATGGAAACCACTCTCCTGCTTTCCAATATCAGATTAATATGGGATGTTGGCTTTTAAAAAGACTTTTAATTATAATTTTTTCAAACATATATATAAAGGTAGAGGGAACAGTACATGGAATCTCCATGTAGCCATCACCGACCCCACTGTTTGTGAACTCACGGCCACTCCTATTTCTTTTACCCTGCAATTCTGACTTAGATTGTCTTGAAGAATATCTCAGACATCATATCACTTTATATGTTATTGTTTTAACATGTATTTGTAGTCATTAATGATTTCACAAACATAAGAAAATATGATAATTATACAGAAAATTTAAGAATAATTTATTCGTGCCTCAACTATCCATTCAGTGTTCAAATCTCTTCTATTGTGTCAAAACTGATTTCTGTTTGTTTTTTAAGAGTTTTTGTTTTAAATAAAACAAGATCCAGATACTAGCAGATGGGGCATTTTGATTTTTTAAACACTTTTTATAGAATTAGAACATGTATACAGAAAAGGGCTCAAATCATAAGCATACAGCTGATGAGTTGTCAGAATATGAACACAGTGGTGTAAAGAAAGCCAAATCAAGGACCTGAACATGAGCAGGACCTCAAGAGCCCCCTTTGTCACTGCCTCCCAGCAAAGGCAGCACTATCCACACTTCTAGCACTATCGGTGAGTTTCATGCCTTGGCAGATGGGCTTTAACATTTTTGTTTAATTCACTTAGTCTTGCTAATCTCCTTCTTTTTCTTGGCTGTGGTGCATGGCTGTGGAACTCAGGGTGGACTTCTGTTGGGCAGCCAGTTCCTGGATGGCTGTCTCTGGGTGGAGGACTCCTGCCTTTCCTGCTTAGATACCCACAAAGGCTGCTCTTTAGCCTCCTTCCCTTCACCCCCTTCCCCTGCCCCCAGTGCAACGAGTATTACACAACCACAAAACTGCAAAATATTCCCACAATTTTCTGGTCCTTTCTGGGAGAGGCTGTTCTGGCTTTTGCAAGCATTCCTCTCAGTCCTGGCCCTCTGCCTGCTCCTCACTCCCAGGTGGTGCTGGTCAGGCTGACTAGAGGCCAAAGCTAGTCACAGTGGGCCGGCGCTCACACACAAATGCCGTCTTCATTTCACGTGGAACATTCTTTTAAAATCTAGGTCTTAGTATTGTTGATTTTTTTTTAAATAAAAGAGTTATCATAAAAGAGGGACAGCATAGAAAGTCCCCAAAGAGCAGCAAGATTTAAAAGAAATTCACAAGCCTTATCTGTCACTCTCTTATCATTTACTTTTACCAGTCACAATTTAATTAAGCTTTTGTTGAAAACTTATTTTGGTTTGCTTCTGTCCCAAGAGGTACCAGTTGGGGCCCCTACAAAGTGCAGGGCAGAGTTTCATTTTTCATTTGTATGTTCTAGGGTTGAGGGACCTCAGACAGAATCAAATGATAAAGCCTCTGCCCATGATGTCGTCTATGGCCCCCTGCCCCAGCCTCTGGAAAATAAGCTTCTCTCTGAGAAAACACAGTCAACTAAGACTGAGACTAGACGCAGAGTTGGCAAACTGCCACAAGCCTCTCGCATCCTGAACACTATCCTGAATAATTATGAACACAAACTGCGCCCTGGCATTGGAGGTGAGTAACAGAACAAAGTTCTTTCCCTCCCGGAGGGTCCAGGGATTGAGGGTATAGGCAAGGAGAATGGACCTGGACTATAAAAGAGGGTGCCATGCACATGAACAGGAGCATCCGATGTTGACCTGTTGGGTAAGAGATATTAACTCTAGTCTCAGCAGTGTCATTGACCTTGATTAAGACTTTTTCCTTCTCTTGCCTTCAGTTTTTCCAACTGTAAAGTGAGAGGACTAAACTAGGTTGTTGATCTTCAAGATGTCTGTAACAACTCCAGTAATTTATTTCTTTCATCCCCTCTAACCACTTTCTCCTCTGTCCCATGACCCTGTTTGACATTTACCCTCTGCTGCTTCTGCTTCCCTTACAGAGAAGGCCACTGTGGTCACTGTTGAGATCTCTGTCAACAGCCTGGGTCCTCTCTCTATCCAGGACATGGTGAGTACTAAGCTTTCCTTACAGTATTTCCTAGCCCAGGGGCTGACCTACAGGGCATTCCACAGACTTTCTGCTTTCTGCTCTGTATGTCTGTAACAACTCCAGTAATTTATTTTCTGGAGGGAGGAAGGGGTTTTTTAACCACTGACTTGAGAATGAGACTGGAAAAGGTAAGTCTCTTGCTACTTGAAGAGGATCTTCAGAATCAAGACCATATCTTCCAGTTTTTTCATTGAAAATAAAAATAATAAAGCAATTTTAAACACCACAATGGAATGCCTCTTTTATTCTGATAATTATTTGTATGGACATAAGTCCAAAGTTACTAGCTCTTGCTCTAAGACTGCTTCTATATTTTTGCTCTACTTTCTTTTTTCCTTTCCACTAATATCATCATAGTGTCATCATCTCCCACCTAGAATACACCTACTCAAATCCACCTACTAAGTTGGCCTCCCAAGTGATGCGCCTCCTACAGTCCCGGCTCTATTTACTACATGAAGTTCAAGGCCTTCCGTGGTTGTATTCCCCTTCACTCCTTTAGAGACCACATGCTCTGGTCACACTGGAGTACGGGTGTCCACAGATCACCTTGTGCCATTGTTCTACCTTCTTACTTGTCAGCTGCCTTCTTTTTCAGTATCTAGCTCAGACGACATCTCATTCATGGCATCTCCCCAGACCTCCACACCTGTTAATTGCTTCTTTCTTTTTCACACCACATTTCTCTCCTTGACAGTTACATCTTTAGAGCTTATATCACAGTTGTTTACCTGATTCCCTATGTCATTTATTGTAATTATCTGTGGTATGTCTGCCTTCCGTCTCCACCATGGGCTCCTTGATGCCAAGAACTCAGTATATGTTAGCTAAGCAAATGAGTGATGAAAGATGTTCTGCAGGAATCACTAGCATCCTCAGAGCCTGACACTCCATCACAGCCACAGACTTGGCTTGGCCCAGGGCAAACAAAATTTTAGCATATTCACTGCTACCCAAAAAGTGCCATGTGACTGGGTGAGTTTAGAGACTTGGCTCTGAGGTGGGCCTTGCAAATAGACCCTCAAAGGTAAGTTAACCTTCTTGGAAAATCAAGATGATGTTTACATAGGCTAAAGTGGAAGAGCAAGGTCCCCCATCGCCGCCACCATGAGGCTTTGACTGCCTGATTCTTCAGGCACACTATTTATGCAATACTATGTAACAAATTACCCCCAAAACATAGTGTCTTAAAGCAACAAATAATCATTATCTCACAGTTTGTGTGGGTCAGGAATCCAGGGATTGCTTAACTGGGTTCTTTGTTTCAGAATCTTTCACAAACCTGTAATCAAGGTGTCAGCTGGGGCTGGGGTCAACTGAGAGAGGATCCATTTCCAAGACCACTCACAGGACTGGCAGGATTCATTTCCTCTCTGGCTGGGGTCTGGAGATCTCCCTCCATCCTTGCCATGTGCACCGATCCACAGGGTAGCTCACAGTATGGTAGCTAGCTTCCTTCTGAGTGAGGAATTGTAGAGAAGGTACTGAAGATGAAAATCACAGGCTTTTTATAATCTAATTTTAGGAGTGACATCCCATTGCTTCTTTGGTACTCTCCTCATCAGATGCAAATCATGAGGTCCATCCCACAGTAAAGTGGAGGGGATTACAGAAGGGCACAAATACCAGGAAGTGAAGAACATTGGTGGACACCTCAGAGTCTGCCCGCTACACATGATTATTATGTTCTTCTGTTAGAGCAAGTCCTAGAATGGAGTTGCTGAGAACTAACAAGAAAGAACAGACACATGAGAGCAGATAGATGCTTTTGAGTTTCTGTCTACACTTTAAAATTGTTGGGGTTTTTTTGTCTCTTCCCTTGATGTCAGGTTTACTTTTTCACTGCTAACAGTGTGTTTACCACTATGAGAATTGCAGTCTCCTTTTTGTCTTGCAATTTACCTTTTTAAAATGAGTATGAATTTAGCAATTAGTTTTGCTAGCATTGTTTATAAACTAAGAAACACTACGTTTTGTGCAAAAACCAGAGGTTGAGGGCTTGTGGTCCCACCATTGTGGACACTGCTGACCATTTCAGGTCATTGGTGTAGGAGTGGGGAAGTGGCTCAGGATGTATTCTAGCTAGCTCCTAGAAATTTGCATTTGCATATCTATTTCTCTGTTCCTTTGTTCTATTTCTGTGCTCCTTTGGTTTGACTTTAAGGCACTGCCAACCTGATTTGTAAGTAACCAGTCCAATTTCCAGCAAGCTGGTTTGTTCATTCTTTTCTAACATATCACTCTCCACCCAATTGGTGGCAGCTAAATTTCCTTAGGTGGAGTGAAGAGAACATACAAATGGAGCAGGGGGCACTAAGTTGCTTTGGTTTGCTTTCTGAAATTGAAGAGTAGTGGAGAATTTGTGATTACAGTTTCCTTGCTGTTTAGGAAGCCAATTTCTGTCCATAAGAGCCCATGTAGCAGAGCAGTAGCCCCACTCACAGTAGCTCTGCTCCATGGCTATTCATTCTGCCAGCAGTGACCTCACATGACAATGCTCTAATAACCCAGCAGTCACCAAACCTAGCATGGAACATAGGGCAGTCGCCATAGAGCCAAAAACTTTATGTTCTTTGGCCAGTAAGGGGGTGCTTTATCCTGAGCCAAGAGTCTTTTATAAATTCCAAACTCTCACATGTAGTTTTAAATTATCCTGAGATGTCTTGCTTTCTACATGGTTCCAAACAGTTTTTTAAAGCTGTGGGAGGTCCCTGTTCTGTGGTGTACTTGGTAAGGAGGGGATGCATGCCTCTGCCACACAGTCACAGAATATGCCAGTACCCAGCACATTCTCGTCTCTTTGGATCCTCATGACAGCCTGCATGGAAGCCAAAGCTGCCATTAGGATATAGATCCCTGTTTTACATTTGAGGAAGCTGAGCCTTCTCAGAAATGTGAGTCCTGGCATTGGGTAGCTACTTGGTGTAGCTGCTTGAGGGGAGTTTCAACGCCTTTCAGTCAAATATTGTATAGAAAGCAGGCCTTGTCCTCAAGGAGGAAAACCTGAGTGCACGGTTTTGGAACACCCAGTCTGGCATTAAAAGGCAATAAGTAATCTGGGAATGACTGCCCATTGTAGCATCAATGGTTGCTAACTCTCTTCTTTTTTTTTTTTCTGCTGTGGTAATTATCGCAGTTGATTCTAGTTCCAAAACTCTGAATTTCTAGACTTTTGGCTGAGCTAAAAGAGATGTACATCACAAGCTCCTTTGTCAAACTGGGGAAAAACTGAACTGTTAGCTATAAGTTGATATGCAATGAACTTAAAATTGTCAAATAGAAATTAAATGCTCATTTGAAACACTTTATAACATAAAGCATAAGCACAGTGTGAGTGCAGACGGGAAGGCTTCCCACAGGCTACCAAGCAGTTCGTGAAGCCTGGAAATGAGGAGGCTCTGCTAGCCAAGTTGGAACTGCCAGCCACTTGGGACAGGAGAAATACTTGGAAGGCTATTTGTGGAGGCAGGTGGGGCAGGGTGGACTCAGAGACTCTCATCAAATGGGCCTACTCCAGGGAACATTCTCAGTCTTTCCTTCCATGGCTGGCTCCCAGCAGTTTGGTAGTATGGACTTTCTTTATTTCTTCCCTAAGGGCCCTACTTGCCTCCATAGTTGTGGGTATTCATTGTTGGATGCAGAACTCAGGGGAAACACCTAGGGATTCTGCAGAGAAAACTGGACCTTGGTACCTAAAAGGATTGTTGGTGCAAGTGAAAGCCATCCCAGGGCAAGGCTGCCATTGACTATTTGTGTGACTTTGGATTGACCCCTTTCTCATGGAGCCTCAGTTTCCTTATCTCTAAAATACAGGATGTTGGGCAGTTCTATTGCTGTCGGGTTTTTTCTCCCTTCAATACCAGTGGTGCACATTTCTAGCTTCTTCCTATTAAATATAATTGTTTATGTTTAACAGACATTTTATGGGACAGAGAATATCTGGAGACCAAATAATCATGGATGTATCTATGCACATGCACACACACAGAGGTCACAGGCACCTATTTGAAAGGAAAAACAAAACAAGGGGGAAAAAAGGTTCTTCTCGTTAAAAAAAAAAACAAAAAAAAAAACCATGAGACTAAATAGACATTTCTCTTCTGACTCAAAACACTTTTTTTGTTTTTTGAGATGGAGTTTTGCTCTGTCGCCCAGACTGTAGTGCAGTGGCACAGTCTTGGCTCACTGTAACCCCCTTTGCCAAGGTTCAAGGGATACTGCTGCCTCAGCCTCCTGAATAGCTGGAATTACAGAATCCGCCACCATGCCCGGCTAATTTTTGTATTTTTAGTAGAGATGGGGTTTCATCATGTTGGAAAGGCTGGTCTCGAACTCCTCACCTCGTGATTCTCCTGCCTTGGCCTCCCAAAGTGCTGGGAGTACAGGCATGAGCCACAGCACCAGACATCCAAAACACTTTATTTTTATTTTAATTCTGGAGAATGAAGGATTGGGGTTAACTAATAATTGTGCTCCCCAAATAAAAATTGAAAAGGGAAACTTCACTGTAAGCAATCAATGGTGTGTGCGCTTGTAAATTTTTAAAACAATTTTGAGCTGGGATCTTCTTTGATTTACTGTGGAAATGTGGGGACTGAGAGAGTGTCCTTTTTCTGCTCATCCCCAAGTGTCTGCTTTTCTGTCCTTCCTACCAGGAATACACCATTGACATCATGTTCTCCCAGACCTGGTATGATGAACGCCTCTGTTATAATGACACCTTTGAGTCTCTTGTTCTGAGTGGCAACGTGGTGAGCCAGCTGTGGATTCCAGACACCTTTTTTAGAAATTCTAAGAGAACCCAAGAGCATGAGATCACCATGCCCAACCAGATGGTCCGCATCTACAAGAATGGCAAGGTGTTGTACACAATTAGGTATGTCAAGCCTCTGGAGTCTCACCTCCTGGGATTCTCTCTCCCCTTCTGATAATTTTAGCTAAAGATCCATGGGCAGAGATCTCATTCTGAATGATACCTCTAAGGGCCTGTCCAGCTTTCCTAGACCATGAGCTCTGCTCCCTCATGTAACAGATACAGAAGCCTCAAAATAGGAAGATCCTGCTTCAAGCCACACACCAAGTTTGTGATAGAGGTGGAACTGGTACCCAGTTACTTGGCTCCAAGTCCAGATCTCCCCCAACTAGGATGTGTCAGTATGACTGCATTACCTAGACAATTCCATCCCAAGTGGGCACTGGATATAAAGATACGTCCACAGTGGTGGAGTTGTTCAGGTGGTGCAGCAGCACAGCAGTGGCAAAGGTACCTAAGATCAGGTTGGATACTTGAATTCCCAACAGGGGAAGATTACGTGTCAGGGGCAGGAAGGTGGGGAAGAGTGGAAGGATGTTGGCAGGTCCTGGAAACTGGGCTGTGTGAGGAAAAAAAAAAGCTTATCAAAGTTGGTCCATATGTTTCTCTAATGATGGAGCCCAGAGTAGCCAGATACTTCTAAGCTGTTTGCCTATTTGTTTTGTTTTGTTTTTTCTCTTTTGTTATCTCTCCTTTGAGCTTTTTGTCTTAAATTCTACTGAGGGCTGGGTGCGGTGGCTCATGCATGTGATCCCAACCCCTTTGGAGGCTGCAGCAGGTAGATCACTTGAGGTCAGCAGTTCTAGACAAGCCTGGCCATCATGGAAAACCCCTGTCTGTATTAAAAATGCAAAAATTAGCGGGTCGTGATGGCGCTAATTCCAGCTACTTGGGAGGCTGAGGCACGAGAACTGTTTGAGCCTGGGAGGCAACAGACTGCAGTGAGCTGAGATCATGCCACTGAACTCTAGCCTGGGTGACACAGTGAAACTCTGTCTCAAATAAACAAACAAACAAAATTGACTCTGGCTATTCATTGGTGTTGGTCCCTAGACCAAAGTTGGGTGGATATGAAAGTGCCTAGGATCAGCCTAATGAGGCTCCTTTCTCCGTTCCAGGATGACCATTGATGCTGGATGCTCACTCCACATGCTCAGATTTCCAATGGATTCTCACTCTTGCCCTCTGTCTTTCTCTAGCTGTGAGTACCTTCTTAGGTTTCTGGGGCCCCAGAGACATGCTGGGCTCCTTCTTTTTCTCATCCTTGCCATTTACATTTTTCTGCGTCTGCTTTTCTCCTAAAACGGTGCCAAGGTTGTGCAGGGCTTCCATCCTTCACCCTCATTTCCCGTCCACGTGCCTCTGAAATGTTCCTCAAGTATGTCTTCTCCTTTCCATCTGGCGCTATCTTGGTTTAGGCCTTTGTCATCTTTCACCTGGACTTTTGCCACATCTTCACTTTGAAACTGCACATGTCTGAAACAAAATTTATTGCCTCCTCCAAACCTCTACCACCAAAACAAGAGTGGTGCTTCTGTGTTCCCATTTGTCTCATTGAAGAGCACCATCACCCACCAGTTGCCCAAATCAAGAACTTTGGTGTTCCCTCTACCTCACTTCCTATAGCTAATCAATCTGCACATCTTATCGGTGTTTCCTCCCAGTCTCTATCAATGCTGTGTATTTGTCTGCACTCTGTCACAGCTTTGACTTCCACCTGCATCAATTTAATTGTGACTGGATTACTACACTGGCCTGTTTCGCCAACATGCTATCCTCACGGAAGGACCAAAGCGACCTAGCTGAAAGGTCACCTAGACCAGATCACTTCTCACTTTCAAATCTGCTCTTAACTATCATGAATCGATTCAAAATTCCTTAGAATGATCCTCAAAACCATTCATGAACTGTACTCTGCCACCCACTCTTGTGCTCCTCATCCTCTGTGAGCTAGCCGTCCTGAACTTTCGGCTTTTCCACAATACACAAGGTGTTTCACCTTTCTATGCTGCCCCTTAATCCCTTCAATGTCATTCTTATTGAGAATATTTACTTGAGTTTCAAGATTAATGGGGCTATCACCTGTTTTATGAAGTCTTTTCTGAGTATGTCTGCAAGTGATCTTTATCTGCTTTGTTTCCCCACTGTTCCACTGGCGTAGGTTTTTCAGAGCACCTCCAAAAATCACAGTAGTATACTCACTGTCTTATAAAATTAAATGTAAATTTTTGAGGATAGGTTCATGCCTTGCTGATCTCTGTATTTCCAGTCCAGGGCCTGATACTGAGGAATGCTCAGTAATGCACTTATTGAATGGACTTCAACAATGAGGTAAGAAAGGCAAGGTCCCACAGCTAGTGAGACCACAGACAGGACTCCAAGGCATTGTGCAGGCTGACTCCCTGCTATTGGAGACGCAGATGGGCTTCCAAGTCTCATATGACCCTCTTTCTCACATTGTTTTCCAGTTTCATATCCTGAGAATGAGATGACCTACAAGTGGGAAAATTTTAAGCTTGAAATCAATGAGAAGAACTCCTGGAAGCTCTTCCAGTTTGATTTTACAGGACTGAGCAACAAAACTGAAATAATCTCAACCCCAGCTGGTAAGTGTGCCATGGAAACCAGGGCTTGGCAGAAGTCCAGGAAGGTGGTAGGGGTGATTGGAGATGGCCATCCATACAAATGCTTTGCAGGAATCCCATGGAAATATTGTAAGACATGGCTCCTGACTTCTAATTGCTAAGCACTTACAACTGTTTGCAGAGGAAACTGAGACTTTGTAACTATGTCTCAGTCTTATCTGCAAAGAAGTAAGTGCTTTGCCAAGCCCCTTGAGAGATTAGGTAAGTAAATAAAGTTCTATTGCTGTCAGAATGTGCAGGACTCTTCAGTTTCAAGGTTACAACACTGACCTACTTGGATGACTTTGGGGAATGGAGCTCATAAGAGTTCTCCATACCCAGAACCAATCCAAGCTGGCTGAATGGGAAGCAAAGTCCATTATAGTGGGAGGTGGGGGCTAGAGCTCTAATGTGAGCTAGTTTAAGGCTGGGATAGTTTGGAGGAAGTTATAGCAGCTACAGTGGCTGCTGCATTGGCATTTATCTTAAAGGAACAGGTCTAAAAAGCACAAATTCTTGTCAGAGTTCATGGTGGATTCAACATAAGCATAGTGACCACTGGTTTTCTGACCTTTTCTCTAACGAAGACTAAAAGGGAAGGCCCTGGGCCTCTTACACTTCACCTTGCAATTAGATGTGAGCATCTTCACTTATGTTCCTAGGTGATCTGAATGAGGAGCCAAAGGACCTCCCCAGGGTAGCTCCCAGAGCAGCCCTGGAAACACTCTTCACACGTCCTAACCAAGTTCAGGGCAATGAAGGCACTGCCCTCATCGTTTCCAGAGTGTGGATGGAGCCAGTCACCCAACCAGCCATTTGTCGTGAGAGGCATCTTGTTCTGCTACCATATGACTTGGCAGAAAAATCTGCTTTTGTTTCATTTGTTGAGTCATTGTTGAGTCATTCTCTGGGTGAGGGAAAGCTCATGCTCATGTGGCCAGAGCTTTGCTTGCACTGTACTAGGAAGGGGAAGAGGGCTGGAATATCTTACCAATACTTGTCTTTTTTCTTGGGAACTCTGAGGAAGCTGTTTTACTACCTTTGACTTGGGAGCCTTGCTCTTCTGCCAGCTAACCATAGGCTTGCCTCTTGGCTTTCCACACCTCAGTTTTTCCCAGATAGGTGGAGACCCATCGTCAAAAGTGACAGAGGAGATAAGGCCCAGGGGCTTTCAAGTCACTAGTGGTTCCATTTAGTAGATGGTTGTGCATTGTTTCAAAATGGTGCCCTAGTGACTACAAAGCCCCAGAGCCAGTATCATCACCAAAGCAGTGACAGTAGGTAAGCACCAGACCTCCTTGGGAGTGAGGAGGATTGTTGAGGAGAAAAGAGGTCTTCTTTCTCCTCTGCTAGAGACTAGTTGATCTTGAGACATGGTTCCTTCAATGTCAGAGTTATTTTTGGACTTCAGAGTTCAAACTCTTCCAGCTGGACCCTAGGACAGGTCTCTCCATCTGGAGCAAACTTATGTGGTCATCTCCTAAGGGTTCAGAATTCAGTGGTAGCCTGCTACTCTGGCCATCTTGGACTTTGAGCCAGAGAATCTCTGCTTCAGGAGGTTCAAAGAGAGTCCAGCCCTACCCCAGGGAGTGGCTTGTCCTTCACTGATGACTGTGGACCCTCCAATGGAATATTATTGCTGATCAGGAATTCACTGTCTTACAAGGAGGTTGCTTTCTTCTCTAGACAGTTCTGTCCATCAGAAAACTCTCCCTGTTCATCTGAAATTGGTGTCTCCGGAAGTTCCACACATTGGGTGTAATTATTTTTCCTTGGAACTATCCAGCTTACGTTAGTCCAGCCACTGTTTCACAGGCCTGAGATGAAAGGATCAGCATTATCATTCCTGGCATGGATCATAGTCTCTTGCAGTCTACATAGCCCTAGTTTATTTTTCTTCCCTTATTCTTCAAAGCTTCTAGTCCATTCATCCTTCTAGTCCCAGTCCTCTGGACATGATCTTTTAATTGTGTCCCTCTGACACTGCAGTGACCAATGATGGTCTGGTCAAAGAGGATAAGAGTTTGAGCATAGAACTGTCTTTAGCATATATTTTTTGCTTTGGTTCCTAAGCCCCAGATATATATGTTTTTCTTACCTGTGCTTCTCTAACTCCTTAAGAAGAAAAAAGTATGTGTTAGCATCTTTCTCTTGTCCTTCAAGACAAATTGCCACCTCTTGACGAATGGAGAAGCTTCTTTTTTTTTGGCCATATATTAAATAAACCCAGCAATTGGAAGTGCCTTTGATTGCAATCAAGATCCCAGGGCGAGAGGACTTTTGATAAATCCATTCTGGCCAGTGTCAAGTGTGAGGGTGGTCTGTGCATCAGCTCTGGAGGAATTCTGTCCCAAAGCTATACTCAACACACAGATTTCCCACTGAAAACAGGTCACTCCCTTGCCTTTTTCCAGAAGAACCTCAGAAGCCTTGCTCCTTGAGTTTCAGAGCTGCCAAGCAAGGTAAGGAGTAATTCAGCTCTTCTCATTCAGCTCCAGCCCACCCTGACCTGCTGGGCAGGTGATCTACTTTCCAAAATAAGACACATGGACAGGTTAGTGTTCTGGTCTGGTTTACAAACATGTTGCCTGGCAGGAGCAAGAGTTGCTGAGTGTCTGCTGGGTTCCAGGCTGTTCTGAGCTTGGATGGGCAGGGGCTAAGCCACAGGGCCTACATGAGCCCTGCCTTGAAGGGACTTAAAAGTCCACCTAATTATAGGCCTAGGAATTCTATAGTATTATAACTCCAATGTGATGCTGAGAGTGGAAAATTATGTCCTGAGCTCAAAGAAAAGCCCACACAAGCCCAGGAGTCATGATAACGTGCCTCCTGCTATCATGGAGAAGGTTCATTAGAGCATAAAGCAGCAAGAATGGTATAAAAGAAGATGCCAACTGGAGATATACTTTGTCATCAGGTCCTGGAGGAGCCATGACTGTCTAGCCGAAAGCCATGACCAGGGACACAATGTCCAAGTGACTATGAGGACCTCATTCTGCCCTGTGGATATGTACTCCACAAACCTGTCATCTGGAGGGCTGACTGAAATGTTCATTTTAAGCTCATTTTTCTCTTTTCCTGAAACATTCAATTTGGGTTAGAGGTCCTAGACTAAGACCAGAGAGTCCAGGGTTAGATTATTGCTGTAAATTTACAGGCTATCTCAGGAAATCTGTGAGCAGATGGCATTGGCTTTGGATAAGATGTGTGAGAGTGTGAGTGTAAAATGTCAGTTGGAGATGGGTCATGGTGGACTTTTAGCATCAGATTCCAGAGTGCAGATTGAGTCTATAGCTCATGTGGAATAGGGAGCCACCAAAAGTTTGGGGAGCATGCTAGTCCCGGTTTTAACCATCAGTGGAGCAGTCCTCCCTCACTAAGTCATTTTGCCATCATACAAATGTGTAGAAAGGAGGCTGAAAGCATTCTGTGCTTCCCCACCACAGTACAGACATCTCTGGTCTCATTTGCTGAGAGTAGATATTCTGAGGGCCAGCAGTCGAGGTATGACATGTGTCAGTGGGCTCAGTGGGTGTGAAGCCCTCAGTCAGTCATCTGGATATCAGCTGCATGGGCATGATATCCAAAAGGCTGTTTTTTTCACTTTCACCGGGCTCTCTTGCCACCCTGCAGAGACAGACATTGAGTGTGGGAGAGTGAACCAAGAAAGAAGCTATTAAGATTTTGGCCTTGACTTAGCTGTTAACTGGCCATGGGTCTTGCAGTGAGTCTTTTTTCTGGGCTTCTTCTGATCCTATTTGTATATATTGCATTGTAACATCATGCCTCTATCCTACGGAATACTGTGAGCTGAATGGTGAAACCCTTACTGTGCATATCCTGCTTAAGGGAGACCCTCATGCAATGCAGTGGCGTTTTTTCTGTCTTTCAGGTGACTTTATGGTCATGACAATTTTCTTCAATGTGAGCAGGCAGTTTGGCTATGTTGCCTTTCAAAACTATGTCCCTTCTTCCATGACCACGATGCTCTCCTGGGTTTCCTTTTGGATCAAGACAGAGTCTGCTCCTGCCCGGACCTCTGTAGGTAAGAGGGGAAAGAGGCATACATGTAGGCACATGGCTGGGAGTTGGCTGGGCCCCAGCAAAGTTGCCTTGTCATGGAGTCCTTCAACCAATGTAGCATGTAGGCAAGAAGCTGAGCCCACTCCTGTGCTCTTGCAGGGGTCACCTCTGTTGTCACCATGACCACGTTGGGCACCTTTTCTCGTAAGAATTTCCCGCGTGTCTCCTATATCACAGCCTTGGATTTCTATATCGCCATCTGCTTCGTCTTCTGTTTTTGCGCTCTGTTGGAGTTTGCTGTGCTCAACTTCCTGATCTACAACCAGACCAAAGCCCATGCTTCTCCAAAACTCCGCCATGTATGAACTGGGTATGGGAGTGGTGGCAAGGCTTTGGAGTGTGAAGACATTCTAGCAAGGGCATTAGGGTTATGGCACATGGGGGGTATTAACCAGGGTTGTGGGGGGAGTTGAATCAACTTCCCAATGTAATGATGAGAAGTTGGAAGTGACAAGCCAAGATATGGTGTGCCAAAGACACATTTGCTTCCAGAAAATCTGGAGGCAGCACATAGATGTGGCTTATCTTCCCTTGACTTTTCCCCACTTCTTTCCTTGTCCATTTTAGCCTTGTATCGATAGCCGTGCCCATGCCCGTGCCCATGCACGTGCCCGAGCCTGTGCCCGCCAACATCATGAAGCTTTTGTGTGCCAGATTGTCACCACTGAGGGAAGTGATGAAGAGGACCACCCGTCTTGCTCAGCCCAGCAGTTCCCTAGCCCAGGTAGCCCTGAGGGTCCCCGCAGCCTCTACTCCAAGCTGACCAGCTGTGAGTGGCGCAAGCATTTTAAGAAGTACTTCTGCATGGTCCCTGATTGTGAGGGCAGTACCTGGCAGCAGGGCCGCCTCTGCATCCACGTCTACCGCCTGGATAACTACTCGCGAGTTGTTTTCCCAGTGACCTTCTTCATCTTCAATGTGCTCTATTGGCTTGTTTGCCTTAACTTTTAGGTGCCAGCTGGTACCCTGTGAGGCAACCTCCCCAGTTCCCCAGGAGGTCCAATCCCCTTGCCAAGGGAGTTGGGTGAAAGCAGCAGCAGGAGCAACTAGAGATTTTCCTGCCCTGTTCCCCAAATGGAAGCCTATAGAGGGTTTGTCCTTGCTGCGACTCTCCCTGAACTGGCCCATTCACTGAGTCTCCTTGGTAGCCCATTTCAAATTATTAATAAATGGGCCACCTTCCTCTTCTTTAAGGGGCATCTGTGATGCTCAGTCTTAAAAATCATAGGCATCTAGTGATCAGCTCCCTAAAACCATGCCTATGTACAGGTGGATTAGCTATCTTTCAACAGTGCTGACAACCAGACAACCACTGCATTTTTCCGGAAGCCCACTATTGCCTTACTAGTGCTTTGGGCCTGGTAAGTGCACCAACTAGTTGCTTCTCTATACCTGACTCCTTATTAAGATGCTGGGCAGCAGTGCAGCAGGAGGAAGGGATCCCTACCCTTTGGTCACATTATTATTTTATTGGTTCTCTCTCGCTGCTACCCCTTTCTCTACAGATAGATAGACACTGGCATTATCCCTTTAGAATGAGGGTGACAGCAAGAGAGCCTATTTGGGACAGCATTCCTCTCTCTGCTGCTGTGACATCTGCCTCTTTCATCCGCACTACTAGTTCAATGCCCTTCATCCAATGGGTATCTATTTTTTTGTGTGTGATGATAGGAACTACTCTCTGCTTTATATGCCACCTTCTTCCTTCTCTCTGACCCCTGTGACTTTTCTGTAACTTCCCCTGTGACTTTTCTGTATCTTCCCCAGTGACTTTCCCTAGTCCTGACCCAGGTACTAGGCCTTGGTGACTTCCTGGGGCCAAGAAACTAAGGAAACTTGCCTTTGCAGCAGGCATTACTCACCATTGATTGGTGCCCACCGGCACACCATAGGAGTTCCATCACTTGCTTGGCCCCTGGACCCATGAGCCAGTCCACTGTTATACCTGGGGTACTCTAACAATCACAATCAATCAATTGAATTCCCTTAAATTTGTATGGCACTGGAACTTTGGCAAAGCATTTTTGACAAATTGTGTCTATTTGGAGCTTCATGATATCCCTGTGACATCTTTAGGACAGGACTAGTATCCCCATTGTGCAGATGGAAACCCTGAGGCACAGATTTCTATAGGACTGTGGATCTCACTGGAAGCTACCCAAGAGCCTAGTGTCGCCTTCTAGACCACATGACAGGGGTAGGCAGCTCAGTTCACCATGATTCTACTCTGTCACCTCTGCTGGTACTGCAGTGGCAGGGCCCAGAATGGCAACGTCTCTTTAGCTCAATTTCTGAGCCTTGGGTGCTCAGACTGCCCCCAAGATCAGATCTCTCCTGGCTCTAGTAACCCAGTAGAATGAATTTGATGCCTCAATGCTTGTATATGCTAAGTAAATCTGTGTTTATAATTCTGTAATTTATTGGAGGGTGGATAGGGTGGGGTCTCCATCTACTTTTTGTCACCATTATCTGAAATGGGAAATATGTGAATAAATATATCAGTGAAGTGTTCAAGGTGTGGCTGGTTTCTTTGGAGTTCAAGTTTATTCTCAGCCCAGGTTTTAATCTGAAATCCATGACCCAAATCTTTTTTTTTTTTTAATTTTTTATTTGATTATAGGTTTTGGGGTACATGAGCAGAGCATGCGAGACAGTTGCGTAGGTACACACATGGCAGTGTGCTTTGCTTTTCTTCTCCCCTTCACCCACATTTGGTATTTCTCCCCAGGCTATCCCTCCCCACCTCCCCCTCCCACTGGCCCTCCCCTTTTTCCCCCAATTGACCCCAGTGTTTGGTACTCCCCTCTCTGTGTCCATGTGTTCTCATTTTTCATCACCCACCTATGAGTGAGAATATGCGGTGTTTCATTTTCTGTTCTTGTGTCAGTTTGCTGAGGATGATGTTCTCCAGATTCATCCATGTCCCTACAAACGACAGGAACTCATCATTTCTGATTGCTGCATAATATTCCATGGTGTATATGTGCCACATTTTTCCAATCCAGTCTATTATCAATGGGCATTTGGGTTGATTCCAGGTCTTTGCTATTGTAAACAGTGCTGCAATGAACATTCGTGTACATGTGTCCTTATAGTAGAACGATTTATAGTCTTTTGGATATATACCCAGTAATGGGATTGCTGGGTCAAATGGAATTTCTATTTCTAAGGCCTTGAGGAATCGCCACACTGTCTTCCACAATGGTTGAACTAATTTACACTCCCACCAACAGTGTAAAAGTGTTCCTTTTTCTCCACATCCTCTCCAGCATCTGTTGTCTCCAGATTTTTTAATGATCGCCATTCTAACTGGCGTGAGATGGTATCTCAGTGTGGTTTTGATTTGCATCTCTCTGATGACCAGTGACGACGAGCATTTTTTCATATGATTGTTGGCCTCATATATGTCTTCTTTCGTAAAGTATCTGTTCATATCCTTTGCCCACTTTTGAATGGGCTTGTTTGTTTTTTTCCTGTAAATCTGCTTGAGTTCTTTGTAAATTCTGGATATCAGCCCTTTGTCAGATGGGTAGACTGCGAAAATTTTTTCCCATTCTGTTGGTTGCCGATCCACTCTAGTGACTGTTTCTTTTGCCGTGCAGAAGCTGTGGAGTTTCATTAGGTCCCATTTGTCTATTTTGGCTTTTGTTGCCAATGCTTTTGGTGTTTTGTTCATGAAGTCCTTGCCTACTCCTATGTCCTGGATAGTTTTGCCTAGATTTCCTTCTAGGGTTTTTATGGTGGAGCAATGAAGGGAATCTGTAAAGGGTGCCACACACCCAGACACACTCCTCCCTTTGTTCCTGTTCACTACTAATGAGAAAAGGGTAAACGGTCCATGCTTGGCGGTTATGGAAATTATGAATGGGAGAGGGGAGCAAAGATTTGGGTCCAGTAAAGACTTAAACATGACCCAAATCTTTGCTCCCCTCTCCCATTCATAATTTCCATAACCGCCAAGCATGGACCATTTACCCTTTTCTCATTAGTAGTGAACAGGAACAAAGGGAGGAGTGTGTCTGGGTGTGTGGCACCCTTTACAGATTCCCTTCATTGCTCCCATGCCTCTGTTGTGTGCCTTTTGCCTTGCCTATCACTCTAGTTCCCCTAATCAAAACTAGACGGTTCCTAGGGACCACCAGACTCAAAACATTCCCCTCCTCTACCACATAAAGATGAAGATTCTGAGACAGAGAAAAAAATGGGAGATTTGTCTCCTGCCACACAAGGAGTTAATAATGGAGTGGGACTGGACCTTAGAAATGCTAATACCCTGGCTTGGTTTGGAACAAGCCTAGACACCTTGGTTGATTCAACTTTCAAAATAAGGTATATTATTTTATACCTCTAAAGGTATGTTGGGAAGTGTGGCCCTGGCATCCGGTGACACTTCTAACTCTAAAGGAACTAAAAAACGATAATGAGAACCAAAGAGGAGACAAAAAGGCTTTATCTGAACAGCCATTTTTGCCATAAAGTCTTTAGAATGATGCTCAATTGCATGCAAGAAACTCACAGAAAATACAAGGAACAATTTTAGAACTAGGAAAATATTTCGTCACTAAAGACATAGGCAGTGTGGTTCTTGGGCAATGTAGATGTGCAAATTTGTAAGCAGTCCTATTTAAATAGATTTAACACACAGAAATAGTGCAAACCAGATTTTTTAATCTCACTGTAATAAATCTACAAACACATAAAATCTCTGCCATCTATAAATGTTTAGATGCTCACATAAACTGTTATTTTAAAACAAAGAAATTGAAATTGTAATTAAGTGCATAATATCTAAAAAATAAAATTAATGAATGAGTTGCAGCCAACTCTGCTCTTAGAGAAAAATTCATAATTTAAATATTTCAATTACTAAATGGAAAAAAATTAATTACCCATTGATAATTAGAAACTGGAAAAAAGATAAAAACACATTATACCTCAGAAACATTTGGAGGGTTAAAGGAATATTAAAATTAAATAGTACAGGGAACCAATAAAGAATTTGAAAAACAAGAAATAAAGTTAGGTTCCTATGTCTCTTCTCATCCAAATTACTGATGAATCAAATATTTAAAAACTTTTTGAAAGGAAACCATAAAGTTGCTATAAGACAATATGAATGAATATGTTTATATTCCTGGGATGGGAAAGGCCCTTCTAAGCACGACATAAAATACTAGAAACAAGAAAGGAAAAGATTGAAAACAGTGCCCATACTAAGAAGTAATAATAACTAAAACAAAAGGAAAACACGTAGAGCAAAACCCACTTTCACACTTTCAAAGGTCAATTTTTCTGGGAAGCAGTCTTTGAGACCAAGGTTAGAATGCAGGAAGTTGATTGGGGAGTGCTCTTTGGATCCCTACCTTTGGGAGGAATGCAGGGAGCAACGCCCGGTGGAGAAGAAATTGAGCTATGATGCACTGGCCGTTAAGAGCCTCAGATTGCTGAGTCAAATGGTATTTCTATTTCTAGATCCTTGAGGAACTGCCACACTGTCTTCCACAATGGTTGAATTAATTTACACTCCCACCAGCTGTGTAAAAAGTGTTCCTGTTTCTCCACATCCTCTCCAGCACCTGTTGTCTCCTGATTTTTTAATGATTGTCATTCTAATTGGCATGAGGTGATATCTCAATGTGGTTTTGATTTGCATTTCTCTAATGACCAGTGATAATAAGCTTTTTTTCATACGTTTGTTGGCTGCATAAATGTCTTGTTTTGAAAAGTGTCTGTTCATATCCTTTGCCCACTTTTTGATGGGGTTGTTTTTTCTCTTGTAAATTTGTTTAAGTTCTCCATAGATTCTGGATATTAGCCCTTTATCTGATGGGTAGATTGCAAAATTTTTTCCCATTCTGTTGGTTGCTGGGTCACTCTATTTGACCCAGCAATCCCATTACTGGGTATATACCCAAAGGATTATAAATCATTCTATTGTAAAGATGCATGCACACATATGTTTATTGTGGCATTGTTCACAATAGCATAAAATTGGAACTAACCCAAATGCCCACCAATGATAGACTGGATTAAAAAAATATGGCACATATTCACCATGGAATACTATGCAGTCATAAAAAAGGATGAGTACCTGTCCTTTGCAGGAACATGGATGAAACTGGAAACCGTTATTCTAAGCAAACTGACACAAGAACAGAACACCGAACACTGCATGTTCTCGCTCATAAGTGGATGTTGAACAATGAGAGCACACGGACACAGGGAGGGGAACATCACACACTGGGGCCTGGGTGGTGGGGGGCTGGGAAGGAATAGCAGGGGGTGGGGGGATTGGGGAGGGATAGCATTAGGAGAAATACTTAATGTAGATGATGGGGCGATGGATGCAGCAAACCACTACCATGACACGTGTATACCTACGTAACAAATCTGCACAATCTGCACATGTACCTCTGAACTTAAAGTATAATAAATAAATAAATAAGAGCCTCAGATGAACAAATTAGAAGTTCTCAAGCTGGGATGGTTCTGAGTGGTCGAAAATCAGGGCAAGGGGGATGGGCCCTTACACTCCCTCACTGAATGTGAGCATGAACATGGGTATGCCTAAGAGGGTCTCCATTAAAGGCTGTCAGCCTCCAACAGTCTCAGCAGCTGGAGAAGTAAGAGCTATACTTAAGGGGCAGTGGTGAGGGAAGGACTTGGTGGAACCCTACAACATTTATGATTATTTGCCCCTTACTTTGCTGAGGCTCATTTGCTTCATACAAATTCACACCACAGTCATCCTCCCATAGTTATGATGAGCTTCTTTTCCTTGGGAGGATTTATAAGGCTAATGAAACACATTACACATCTGTTACAGGAGCTAGTCGTGGTGGCCTTAACTGATGCTCATCATCTCTGTCATACTACTCATTTCAGAACTCCTCTCACCCTTAGCTAGTATCTGCTTATCTAAGTAACTAACCTTGTGGACTGACTGAAACCTTCACCCTTGGAGGGTCTGAGCCTCTGGACACCATGTCCTTCTCTGCCCATGGTTGGTGGTGGACTTGTTTATCATTTCTAAAGGATATCTAAGTGGGTCCGCTGGATGTCAAACTTATTCTTGCCTGCCCCAACTGTATAGAAGTGGCATGATCTCCTTATGGTGATTATAATCAATTACCACTGTCAGGATGGTGACTTGTTTTCTTTTGGCTGGTGTCAAACATGACCAAGCAATGGCTATGGATAAAATTTGATGGAACTCTTGTGTTCCCTGGTCAAGGCATTGACAATCTGGAAGCCAAGAGCTTTAAACCTGTAGGACCCAGAATTATGAAAACTGGAGTCACAGATTCCCTTAAGTTGGTCACCAGGAGTGGATAAGCAAACCAACTCCTACTTCTGCTCCTCAATTCCCAAACATGCACTTTCTACTGCATAGGGTGCAAAATGCTTCCTGGTGGGTGGATTCCCATCCTCTTAGAGTATCATCCCTAAGCTCACACTTTAGCTCTGTCTTTAACACACCATTTCATCACTCTATCTGGATGGCATT